GGCAGCTGGGGAGAGCCGGGGGCCGGTTAGCCGCCTTGGCTGCCAGTCGGCTGTGCGCGTGGGGAGGTGATGCTCAGCCATGCATGCAATTCCCCACTGGCCTTGCGATCAGACACCGGTGCTGTGAGCTGCTGGGGCTGACCTATTTTCCTATGCCCGGGCGGCTCTGGCCAGGCGTCGGTCCGGCGGAGCGGCTGGCTTGTCCCCTCCCTGGGGACGTCACCCACCGGTTTGCTGGGGAGGCAGTCAGGGGATCCCGGCATAGGGCTGCGAGTGTGACTCCCTGGCGCCCATCCCCGGGGCGTTTGGGCATCTGGGTGGCCTTTTGGGCAGCGTGCTTCTCCAGCTGGGCAAGCGTCAGCATCCCAGGCTCCATTTGGTGTTGAGAAGCTGAAAACCAAGATCCCACCTTGGTACCCAAGGAGCTGGTGGGCTGGAGCAGTCAGGGGGCTCGGGGAGGGGCTGGGGCGCTGCCCCCTCTATCCTCTGCTGCTGGTGGAAAGCAGGACTGTCCCTTTGAAGGCGGTGAGGTGCTGGGGACCCGCTCGCTCGGGCAAGGTGGCCAGGGAAGCGCGTGTCCTTGGATGCTCTTGAGCAGCACGTGACAGCTGCTGTCCCCGATCAGCGCAAGGGGGCCTGTGGGCAGGGAGGGGGGTTCCCAGCCCTGCAGCGCAGCCCGCCTGGATGGGCGCAGCGGGGTCGGGATGGGTCCTTGCAGCTCTCTGCCGGGACAGCAGGGGAGGGCTGACACTGTCCCCGCTGACAGGGTGCGAATGCCTGAGCTTATCGGCGATGCAGCGATAACGAGGCACAGAGAGGTGCAAGAGTGTTGGCAGGGCAGTGCAAAGTGGGAGGCAGGAGCGGGGTGCACGCTTGTGCATGCATATTGCATGTGTGTGCACAGCATTCCCCCGGCCCAGATGGGGTCCAGGCAGGTACGCGGCTGTGTGGGACTCCCGTAGCGGGGTCGGGTGCCTGCAGCGGGCGTGCAATGCAGTGTCTGCTCCTTGCAGATGGTTCACACCTTTGCACCCCGGCATCGCCCTCCCTGCTGCCACCAGCCACCCCTCCCGGTTAAACAGCAGCCATCTAGCCCCAGTTGCCCGGCTTGCTGGTGCTGCAGGGACCGGGGATGCCCAGTTGGCTGTGGGGCTGTGCTCCTCTG